ATTCAGCCCAGTATCCTGTCTACCAACAGTAGCCAATGCCAGGTGCCCCAGAGGGAGTGAACCTAACAGGTAATGATCAAGTGATCTCTCTCCTGCCATCCATCTCCACCTTCTGACAAACAGAGGCTAAGGACACCATTCCTTACCCATCCTGGCTAATAGCCATTAATGGACTTAACCTCCATGAATTTATCTAGTTCTCTTTTAAACCCTCTTTTATAGTCCTGGCCTTCACAAGCTCCTCAGGCAATGTTGACTGTGCGCTGTTTGAAGAACAACTTCCTTTTATTTGTTTTAAACCTGTTGCCTATTAATTTCATTTGGTGGCCCCTAGTTCTTATATTATGGGAACAAGTAAATAACTTTTCCTTATTCACTTTCTCCACGCCACTCATGATTTTATATACCTCTGTCATATCCCCCCTTAGTCTCCTCTTTTCCAAGCTGAAAAGTCCTAGCCTCTTTAATCTCTCTTCATATGGGACCCATTCTAAACCCCTAATCATTTTAGTTGCCCTTCTCTGAACCTTTTCTAATGCCAGTATATCTTTTTTGAGATGAGGAGACTACATCTGTACGCAGTATTCAAGATGTGGGCATACCATGGATTTATATAAGGGCAATAAGATATTCTCCGTCTTATTCTCTATCCCTTTTTGAATGATTCCTAACATCCTGTTTGCTTTTTTGACTGCTGCTGCACACTGCGTGGACGTCTTCAGAGAACTATCCCCGATGACTCCAAGATCTCTTTCCTGATTACTTGTAGCTAAATTAGCCCCCATCATATGGTATGTATAGATGGGGGTTTCCAAAATGTGGACTCATTTGCAATATTTTAGAAAAACAAATTCTACATGTTCTATTCCAGAGAGTACCCAACCCTGGGCTCCCTCATGGACACCTTTCTCATACCATGGGCTCCAGGAAGCTGAGACAAGATGCCAATCACGTTATCATGATAGTTCTGGTATGGACCACACAATTCTGGTATTCAGATTTACTGACTGTCACTATGAACACAGGTCACCTATATGTCCTGCCGCAACCTGTTTTCCCAGGATAGTGCTTGGATCCTACACCTTGACCCAGTGTCCCTAGACCTGACAGCTTGGATGTTAGATGGATGGATATACACAGAGAAACTGTTCTGCTACCATTCAAGACATTTTGCTGGAAAGCAGAAAACCTTCAACCAGATTTCAAACAGTTTTCTATTTTGGCATTTCAGCAACAACTCACCATTGAAGGTTTAATTTAATCAGTATTGGACTATCTACTTTAACTAAAGCAATTGGGATTGTCCTTCAGCTCAATAAGCATGCACCTGGCAGCAATCTGTGATAATCATCTGTCTGTCCAAGATCACACAGTCTTCTCACATCCCACAAGGATGACATTTCTAAGAGACCTCAACTCATGCTTTCCCACCAGTCAAGAAACCCTCTTTTTTTCTGGGACCTTAACAGGACTTGATGGGTCCACATTTGAGCCTATGCTACCTGCTCTTTCTACCACCTGTTAATGAAAACAGTTTTTCTGGTAGCCATCATATCAGGTAGGAAGATGGAAGAGATCTAGGCTTTCATGGCAGGTCCCCCATATATGATCTTTCACAAGGACAGCGCCACTCTGAGGCCTCACCCAACTTCTCTGCCTAAGGTAGTTTCCAATTTTCACATCAGTCAGTCAATTCATCTCCCCGTTTTCTTCCATAAACTGCTCTCTTTCCGAGATGAAATAAAACTCCACATGCTCAATGTTGTAAGAGCATTGTCCTTTTATTTACATAGGACTAGGCCATTCAGGTGTATGCCTTTACTCTTTATGGCATTTGTTGAGAGGATTAAGGGACAACCCATGTCACCTCAGAGACTAAGTGGGTCTGACTGTAATAGGACTTGTTAACCATTTGATTAAGAAAATTCCCCTGGATGTATTGGGGATCATTCCACTAGAACTAAAGTGACCTCTGCACTTTACATCCCCCATATCCGAGAGATGTATGGCAGCAACATGGAGCTTGATCCATGCATTGGATTGAAAAGACTGAAAAAAAAAATGGGTTTGTTTAGTCAAGAGAAGATGGGGGGGAGGGGATATGATAGCAGTGTTCAAATACGTAAAAGATTGTTAAAAAGAAAAGGTGATAAATTGTTCTCCTTAACAGCTGAGGACAGGACAAGGAGTGATGAGGCTTAAATTGCAACAATGTCAGACATTGCTTCCTAACTGTAAGGGTAGTTAAGCACTAGAAAAATTGCCTAGGGAGGTTGTGGAATCTCAGTCATTTGGGGGGTTTTTAAGAACAGGGTAGACAAACTGCTATCAGGGATGATCTAGATCAGGGGTCGGCAACCTTTCAGAAGCGGTGTACCGAGTCTTCATTTATTCACTCTAATTTAAGGTTTCTCATGCCAGTAATACATTTTAATGGTTTTAGAAGGTCTGTTTCTATAAGTCTATAATATATAACTAAACTATTGTATGTAAAGTAAATAAGGTTTTTAAAATTTTTAAGAAGCTTCATTTAAAATTAAATTTAAAATGCAGAGCCCCCTGGACCGGTGGCCAGGACCTGGGCAGTGTGAGTGCCACTGAAAATCAGCTTGCCTGCCGCCTTCGGCACACGTGTGCCATAGGTTGCCTACCCCTGGTCTAGATAATACTTAGTCCTACCTTAGTGCAGGGGTCTGGACTAGATGACCTAGTGAGGTCCCTTCCAGTCCTACATTTCTATGATTCTATGATTTACCATTCTCTATTGCCTGGTACAAGCAATCCAGATCAGATGCTAGCTTTGGTAGGGCATTCTTACAATCTTCGTTCAAATAGAACTCCTCTAATCCACTTCTAGGCAATTGCTTGTAGGTCACCAAGAGTGGAATCTGGACACTCACTAGAAGAAGAGAGAACCACAGCTTACCCTACAGTAACTGTGCTTCTTCAAGATATGTTCACACAGATTCCATAGCCTGCCTTCCTTCCCTGCTAATCAGAGTCCTGCTCCTATGAGATTCTGACTGAAGGAACTGAGTGTGGGTTTCAGCTACCTCACCCTTTATACACTCTGTTATAAGGAGTGCTAAGGTGCAGGTGTGGCCCCCATGGACAAAAAAAAATCATCTTGTGTGCATGGGGCACACGCACATCAGAGTGCAACTCTGTGTGGACAATACATCCTGAAGAACCAGTCACTGTAGGGTAAGTAACTGTTTTATGTGGCCCTGAGAGAGAATTGACTTGTTCAGGATCATACAAGAAATCTGTGTCAGAGTCAGGAATTGAGACTTAGGAGATGTAGGTTCAGTACAGTACTGGGCCACAAGAACATCCTCCATGTCTGCTAGAAATGTGAGTGTCGCTTTTCACTGAGTCTTTATTTTAAAAACTCTTATATCCAGTTACAAACCAACAGAGAACAGCACAAACTTGTAATAATGCAAAGAAGGCCACTAACAACCTGTTTAAGCCCTAAAATTTACCCCCTTTTAAGTAAATCCTAAGTAGTATTCTAGGAGGTTTGTAGGTTATATTGTTAAATCATCCTCTACTCAGTGGTATCTGTTTATTATCCAGAGATGCTGCATAGGTTTTACTTTTATTTAAAGTACAGATATGCTCTTAAAATGACTGTGTAAAAGAGGCCCTTTCTTATTTAACGTGTGTGTGTGTGTATGCGTGTGTGTGTTTGTTGTTTTGTTTTGTTTTGTTCAGGGTAGTATCTGCTGACTACTTCTTACTCTTATCAATGCAGAGCCAGCCCAGTTCAAAGAGTGAGTTGGATTCTGTTCCTTGAGTAGCATCAACAGAATAGTTTACAAAATAGTTTACAGGTAACGCTGTGTAAGCTAAATGAAGGCAATGGGCCAACAGAAATGTCATCTGTGGTATAATATGGGATTGAAAAGGTGTAACTGAAGACTTAATTTGTCACATACAACCTTTGTTATTGGTGGTGATGTGCGAGAGGGAAAGCAGTTCGCTTTCTCAGTTGCCAGGTTGAGTTTTCAGGGCTGTCACTTAGTGGGAGGAAACATCATTTTAGCTATACACTGAACACATTAGATCAGGAAATCCATTGAGAAATAATAACACGGAGCCACCTCATGCCATTTTTACAATGACTTTTCAGGAAAGAACACATTTTAACAGAAGGTGAATTTTGGAGCATAAGGTTGAGATTTTCAAAAGTGTTCATCATTGGCCTAATTCTACTTTCATGAAAGATGATTGGAGTTTACCACTGACTTAATGGAAGAGTTCAGCCAATCGTGAGCAGTTTTGAAAGTCACATCCTAAATGAGTTAAAAGTATTTCTTTTAACCTAGTATATTATTGTTCCGAATGGTTTCAGTGGTGCACATTTTGAAACTTCTGGCCATTGAAAATTTGCAAGGGTATTCAGGCTTCAAGAAAAAATAAATACTTAGTTTCAGTGGTTTTTGGAGCCATGGAAAATCCAGATTACGTTTTTCTCTATGATTATTTTATTTGATGGTAGCCCATTTCCAGTCTGGCAAGAGGAGCAAAGTTCCAGATTCCTCAAATACAGATCTTGTAGCCACAGATTCATTCAAACTGCTTTTGAGAATTGATATAGAAAGATTTCACACTTACAAACTTAGTCCCTGTTAATCTTGGTGTGAAGATTTAAAGTATTTTGGTAAGTCAAATACAAGCCACTGAGCATCTTCTACCAATTTTATTAGGGAAAATTGTAGATTTAACTTGGAAATATTCTATATTGTCACAGCTGTTCATTTAAAAAAAGTCATACCTGACATCAACATACTAAACAGACCTAATTGTGAATGTTTGCTTTGACTTGCATCTAAATCAGGGACATTGCAATGTGGTTTGGATGTGTCCTCTCTCTGCACCCCACAAATTCTTCTTCAGTTCATTGTCATTTGGAATACAAGCCTTGGCTATATCTGTACAGCTGCAGTACTGTGTACTCAGCTGTTAAAAATTTTGTTTTTCCCTTCTTTTTCCAGCTAAGACATTTAGGAAATGACGAAGTGCACATTGTCTGGTCAGAGCATACTCGAGACTACAGGAGAGGAATAATTCCTACAGAATTCGGTGATGTTCTTATTGTTATCTATCCAATGAAAAATCACATGTTCAGTATCCAGATCATGAAAAAACCAGAGGTAAAAATTTCTTTTGTTTTCCCCTCATGTGTTGACTAACTTTTGGGTTATTTAAATATATGTTGTTGTTTTTTATGGTGTGACATATTTAATCCAACAAGGTAATCCTTCTTTAATAATGACAGTAGTAATAGCTACAAGATAAAAGTCACGTGTACTGAGTGCGGTGCAGAGAGGAAAATAAGCAACTGTGAACAAAAGGCCCATAATCCCATCAAGCAGTTCTGATAACTAATATAAACTGCAACAACAAAGGTTAGAGTATTTTATGTAGTCACTTGAACTCTGAGATTAGATTAAATTAAATTTAGTCTGGTTTGTTAGATTTGTATTGTGTTGTATCAGCACATGAATCCAAATCCTAGTTCTTTGTCCTGAGCTGGCTACCTCTTCCTCCTTGCTCCATTCAGTATTACCACTTTCCTTTCCTTCCTCTCTCAGCCATTTCTACCTTTCCTTTAGACTGCCACACAGGAATTCAGGCCCAGATTCAGAAAGGTATTTAAGCATGTTGGCTTTAAAGGGACTATTTGTCTTGCTTAAAGTAAGGCATATGCTTAAATATTTTGTTGAACTCGGACTTAGTGTGGTTGCCTCCCTGTCTCATAGCCATGCTCTTTAACGGCACCAGATTCCACATTCAATGTGGATTGAGCAGCTGTTGGACTAGAAGCAGCAATGAATGGTTGGATCGCTTAATTCTTAGGTGTGATGTCAGTTGCATGGATTTACAGATTTGTATTTTACAACACTGGATTTTGTTTACTATAAATATGAATACTAATAAGCTACATGAGAGAAATATGAAGTCAACCATATGGCACTGAGTGTGGTATGGTAGTGGCATTCATATGGTATTCAGGATAAAACTAATGCCATAAATGGTATGGTACTACCAAGGATGCACACATTTTAATTAAAACTACATTTTTCTCTTACTTGAAAGTATGAGGGGTTGCATTATTGCCATATTTTATTACTATTTTTAATTGCTTTAAGTAAGAAGGGAACATCCTTGCCCTAATAGAATCTTCCATTAAATGGAAAATGAATGACTTCACCAATCGAACTAGATAACTTCAAGATTCTCAAAATTGAGTAATGGCAAAAATAGTGCACTAAAACTCTTTTGTAGTGTGGATCACATCTTAGCAGACAGATTGCCTATTGGGTATCTCTCCCATTTATGATCACATATAGACCACCTCTCTTCCTTTTTACAGTCATATAAAATCCTTGTGGTGGCAACTACAGCAATTGTTTACATACACAAAAAGGAAGGTATTTTATATATTTTTACTTTTTTTGATGCTATTTAGTAGCTAAAAACAAAGTGCTGGGTCTCTTCTTACTTGAGACCCAGCACTGTGTAACAAGCCCTCTATCTGTGAAACACCAGCAAGTGCTCCACAGATCCCCAGAGGTCCACACACAGCTGCTCCAGAGTGATGGGGGAGTCCCAGATGCTAACTGGTCAGTGAAAAATATAATGTCAAAATATTAGAGCCAGATAATTCTGTGGACTTTTGGTCCTTAATATATGTATATCCCCAAACTTTCTGCTAGTCTCAGCCTAACTTATAAAACTGTGCTTATAAGTTTGTGTATGCAAAGCCTGAATTTGCAGACATATCTGGTAGTTAGCCATGTATCAATCTATTATGTACACACACATGCAAGATTTGACATCAGTGAGTTTCACATGAAGTTAGCATGATAAATACTACAATGAAGGAAACACATGAGAGCAAATAGGGAATCAGGCCTTCCACCTGTAATCATACTTTTTTATTTTTAATTTGTTTAACGTATAAGCAAAAAGCATTCAGACTGATTTTATTATTCATGTACTTATCTACCAAAGTGTGCTAAGTACAGTACGCACACAAAGTAGACATGGGGGTAAAATCCTTGCCATTTTCAAATCAACAGCAAAACTCCCATTGACTTCAGTGGGGGTCAAGATTTCATGTGTGGTTTCTGCTTCAAAAAGCATACAGTCTAATTGTAGATACGATATAAAAAATGAGAGCAACAAATGGGGGAAAAGAGAGTGGTGGATAAAGATCCAATAATAGTCAGATGACAGTTATGTGCACATTTAGATAGTTCCACACTTCAGATTCATGCTGTATCTAAAGATGTAATTTTTTTTAAATGGGTAATCATTTCCCCTCCCTTAGCCTTTGAACTTCATAAGTGTCACATATATGACTTACTATTAGGCTTTTGGCAGAAAATGTTGAAAATAAGCCTGTATGAGACACACTATTCAAATGATTACTTAATTTTTCTGCACATTCTGTTTTATCTGTTACCAAGTTATATGGCTATGTATTTTCATGAAAGAATAGGTCTATCACAAATAATTGTTGTGATTAACCAGAGATGAGGAAGAAAAAGAATGATGAGCTCTCCATTGTTAATGTTGATTTCTAATTGTTATAGCAGAGATTTCATATTAGGGTTGAATTTATTAATTTCTGATTCAGGTTCCATTCTTTGGTCCACTCTTCGATGGCGCTATTGTTAATGGAAAAATTCTTCCTATTATGGTTCGTGCAACAGCTATAAATGCAAGCCGAGCGCTGAAATCACTGATTCCATTATACCAAAACTTGTATCCTTTTCACCTGTACAGTTTTAACATACATTGACTTTTCAGGGCTAAAGATATTTTTCTCATGGGTTTTGTTTTTTTTAAACCTTAGATTTCTATCAATTCAATTCTGGGAATATATTTTAAACCAATTTTTTTTTAAGAAACTTCAGATTAATGCTTTAAAATTGCCAAATGAAGACCCTTTAGTGCTATTAAATAAGGAATGACGGTTTCACATACAAGTCCATTTCATATACAGATTTTTCCAAAAAGAGCTGATTTGTGGTATTATTAGCAACTTGTTCCTTTAATGAAAGTAGATATTTGTTCATTGTTAACATTGTGTAATTTTGTTTTTCAATCCAGATTGTTTTTGTTTCAAAAAGAGAAAAATTACTTTCTATTATTGCTGCTTATTAGCTTGATTATTATGGTACCTGATACATAGTTGTATAATACAGTTAAGAACACTAGGCCATCATCAGAGTTACATAGGCATGTCTTTGTAGAGAAGACTGAAAAGTGTATCACCTTTTCCTGTTGGAATTTTATATTTCTGTAAACTTCAGAACAAGGAGCTCCTAAGAAAATAAGATTACAGCACAACATGAAGTGAAAATAAAAACATGAGGTAAGCTAGTCCACTTTTAAAAAAAAAAAAAAAATTGATACCTCTTGATCGAATATAGCTACATACTTTTATCCATATATATATATATCATTACATAGTAAATGGTTTATTTTTTTACATTTCTCCCCTTTCTAAGATTGACTTTTACTATTATTGTTTTTGAACTAATAAATGTATGTTCTTGTTGTATCTATTTTAAGTAATGAACAGGAGAGTTTAAATTTGAATTAAGATTTTTTTTCAACTTTGTACGTTAACTTCTACCTGCGGTATAGATTTATTGCCTTGCATTTGTCAGCCAATAGACTATTACTTAAATGTTCTGTATTCTTTTAGAAATTGTCTTTGTAGTAGTTGTGTAATTTTGCTTTTATTGTCACATTTCATATGATATAGATTTATAGATGGATGATGGTCTATCACATTGATCACATTTAATGACATTTCTGCAGTGTTTTGGTTGATCGATATGCAGATGCACCATTATTTCACTTTTGAAGAGGTCTGATTATTTATTTTTTCCTGTGTCTCGGACTAGGAATTCCAAATGTGTTGCCGTCATTTGACCTCAAAAGAGCTGGGGCCTATGGGTGTACTGACCCATGCAGGTTGGACAGTTGAAAGTTACTTGCCTTGAAATAACCTTCTATGTGCTCTGCAAAGTAGCAGTGTAACTGAGCTTTTGTGAGGAGTATTGTGCATATAACAAATCCCACAGACTTAACCTGCAGGTTTGTAAATTCAGTGCCCTGAAATTGTCCAGGACCTGAAGGTTATATATACTGGGAGAATTCCTACAAAGATTGCAGATTCTGTGCTCCTAATTGTAGTTGCTTATCTACATATAATACATCATTATTATATACAGTGGTCACCATTTAAATATGGATGTTGATCATTTTAAATCATTAGCATTGCTTTAGTATGAAAGGTATTCTCTGTATGTTGTTGGAATTTGTGACCCCATTTAGCATGCACATTAAGTGTCAATGTACTGGGTACCGGTTTTAAATGACTTCATTATTAATTGGTGACATAGTGTGAATTGGCATCTGCCTCTGCTCGGATTATGTGTTGTGTTCACTGCTCTTCATAATACTTTGAAGATAAAAGGCTTTATCTACTGTAAATGCAAACACTTTCATTATCTAATCTTCATGATACCTCTGTGAGGGATGTGAGCAGGGCTTCAAATACCTACTTTCCCAGGATGAATAAAATGTTTTCTCTGGTGAATTGGGCTGTGAATCCCTTGCCTGCTTCTATGGAGAAGAGAAGGACAGAATAGCCCTGTTGCTGCTCCTTTAGAAGGAGGGAAAGGGAGAAAGACGGAGCAGGGTGGCCCACGCATACTAGTCCATTTTTAGGAGGGGAGAGGATGAAAGAGAGAGACTAGTTGGAGCCTTTACTTTTCAGAGGGTAATCAGGAGAGAGGAGCAGAGGGCCTAGGTGGAAAGGTTTATGATAGGTCAAGGACCTTATGCATGTCCAGCAGTGGGGTGGTTGCAGCACAACAGAGCCCTGCAAAGAAGTAGCCGGAACCAAATTGCTTTTTATTTGTTTGTTTTGTTTGGACGGGAGGGGCAGATTTAATTGGGGGCAGCATTGTGATTTATTGATGACATTGAAGATGGGGCAATAATAATTAAATTAGACTGGGTTTTGAGGGGGCAGGTCATGACAGACTAGATCAGTGTTCTGGCAAATGAGTGTCAGAGACGTTCTTCAAACCCTGTAGCAGACATGCCAACCCCGCGAAAAAAATGGAGAAATTGGGCTTGTTTTTGGCTTAATTGGCTTGGGAGTTGCTTGTTGGCTAGTTTTTGGCTTGTAGCTTGTTGCTTCTTTTTTTTAATCAGCTCCTGGCAAGCAGGGGCAAGGGGGGGCAAGCAGGAGCAAGTGGGGGAGAGAGTCAGGGGTGCACAGCAGGCCCACCACAGTCCCAGACTGCACCCCGAGGAGATCTAGTCATATAGAGTGTTGGGGTTCTTAGGGATTGGCTTGTTTTGGCCTTGTCTTGAAATGGGATTAGCTTGGTTTTTGGCTTGTCGGGGTGCTTATTTACCACGTGAAAGTTGGCAGCTGTGCCCTGTAGTTGAGTATTCTCTCCTTTTTGAAGATGGAGAAATTGAGAGAGCGATGTTAAAGTTGTTCAAAACCACTGTAGTAGTTGATTTTAAAGCCATGATTAGAACACAGGAGTCTGACTCCAGTCTGATATTCATCCCACCATGCCATGTCCTCATTCAGTATGTACTATATGCTACCTGGAAGACATTTTTGGATTACTGTTGGTCAGGTGATACCCAGCTGTGTACTTCTCCATATCCGGAAGGGGCTTTTTGGTGATATAAAAAGCCAAGGTGGAGGTCTCTAGAGCCCCAGTTATTCAAACACATACATGCTTGCTGGGACTACTCACTATGTGTAGGATTGCACTCTGTGCAAGTCTTTGCAGGATTGGAACCTGAAAGAGTAATGGTGACTGAAGGGAAGAGTCTGGGGTCACTGTCTAGGATTTCAGTAACTTTGTGTTTTACTGTTTCAAAATGTTATGGCTCGTGTGTGTGTGTGTGTGTGTGTGTGTGTGTGTGTGTGTGTGTAATTTCTGTAACTGTTTTGCAATTGGAATTTTATTATAGGTATCACCCTTGAAAATGTTTTTGTTATTCTAATGGGAGATAACCAACTGTGTATGAATTCCCAGTGCAGTGCTGTAACTAAGAGCTTGAACATGATCCTTGAATGTGTATCAGGGGAATATCAAGTAGGAGCTGGAAGCTGGTACTACCTCTGTATATGGCATTTATGAGACTCTTACTAGAATACTGTCTCCAGTTCTGGTGTCCATACTTCAAAAAAGATATTAGAGACCTGGGAAGGGTTCAGAAAAGAGCTGCAAGAATGACTCGGGGTCTGGAAAATATCTTTGTAGTGAGAAGCTCAGTCTATTCAGTTTATTCAAGAAAAGATTGAGGTGACTTGAGCATGGTCTATAAATACCTACCACTGTAATTTACAGTATTGTTATAGCTGTGTTTGTCTCTCTCTAATCCTGGGACCATGTTGGGTCAGTGTGGCAAGGCACCTCCTTCGTCTCACTAGACTTAGCACTTCCCCCTCTCGTGATGGTGGGCCTGGGGTAATCAGCCCCACTCAGGGCAGATTTGCCTTCCCCATTCTGTGCTCCTTTGGTCATATTTTCAGGGTAGGCCTCAGGGTCAGCCTAAGGGGTGATCCTCCACCAAACAAAAAGGAAACAGTCTCATAAACACAAAAACCCAGGGGGGCCCCTTTCACTGCCTCCTCGCTGGTGCAGGGTGTCGTCCTGCTGGTTGCCTTGGGGTGTCAATCCTTCCCCTAGCAGGCACTCAGGTTTGGCTGTTTCCCATATGGGAAGGAGCACAGCTTCTCCTGGAGCAGCTTATGTCCCTGCTGCCACTAGCCTGGAAGGAACTTGCCTCTCTCTTTCCCCTTTCTCTCACCAGAGGAGGGGTTTTAAAAGGTTTTAATTCGATTCAGCTGTCCGGTCTGACTTTATCACATCAGGTAATATCTTTTATTGGACCAACTTCTGTTGGTGAAAGAGACAAGCTTTCCAGCGACACAGAAGAAGAGTTCTGTGTGTCTCAAACAGAAGTCGGTCCAATAAAAGATATTACCTCACTCCATCTTGTCTTTATAAATATCTATACAAGGAAGAAATTTCTGATAGAAGAGGGCTCTTTAATCTAGAAGAATAAGGTATGAAAAAGATCCAATGGTTGGAAACTGAAGCTAGACAAATTCAGACTAGAAGTAGGTACAATTTTTAACAGTAAGGAGCCATTAGAATAATTAGGGACCTGATGGATTCTTCATCACCTGAAGGCCTTTCAGTCAAGACCAGATATCTTTTTAAAACAAGTTGTTGCTCAAACAACAGTTATGGGATTGATGCAGAAATTACTTGGTTAGAGTCTATCGCCTGTGTTATGCAAGAGATCAGACTAGATGATCATAATGGTCTCTTCTAGCCTTAAAAACTATTTCTTTGTCTCTTCTCTCAAGATCAACATGATTTTAAATAATTTCAACTACTTAGAGAGGCCATTTCCCTTGAGGTGTAGTTAAATTACCCCTTGCATACCTACTGTTGATTTGTTCTAGGTCTTCTAGCTTGCTTAGAAAGCTTAAGTTCAGTATTTGCATGATATAAGTATAGATCATTTTTTTTCTTCTGGTATTCAGCTTATGTCTCATGAACAATGGAATGTTCAAACTCTCCACAATTTCTGATTTTTCCTATCAGTTGGTAGGTTTAGTACATAGAACATGATGATATTGAGTGGTCTTGCTCATTTGTGGATCTTTAGTGAGAATATGTGATCAAGGATTTCCATACAGT